CATGTCCATTCCTAGAAAAAAAGAAAAGGAAACTAGTAAATTCACCCTAAAAAATCACTTAAAATCTCTAAAAAAAAAGAAGAGGAAGTTAGCAAAAGAATGAAACCCACCTTAAAGAAATCCCAAGAATCCTTACAAAGATCCACTTCTAAAATAAAAAAATTAATAAAATTAGTAAAAAAGAATGAAATTCAATCCCTAAAGGAATCCTAAGGATCCCAAAGAAAACTTACCTCCTATTTAAAAGATCCGCTCCTAAAAAAAGAAGAGGAAGTTAGTAAAAAAAAGAACGAAATCCACCTCCAAAGAAATCCCAAGAACCCTCAGAGAAGACTTACCTCCTATCTAAAGAAAGAAAGAAAGATCCGCTTCTAAAAAAGAAGAGAAAATTAGTAAAAAAAAGAACGAAATCCACTCAAAGAAATCCCAAGAACCCTCAAAGAAGACTTACCTCCTATTCGAAGAAAGAAAGAAAGATCTGATTCTAAAAAAAAGAAAAGGAAGTTAGTAAAAAAAGAACGAAATCTACCCAAAGAAATCCAAAGAGCCTTCAAAGAAGACTTATCTCCTATCTGAAGAAAGAAAGAAAGATCCGCTTTTAAAAAAAAGAAGAGGAAGTTAATAAAAAAAAAGAACGAAATCCACCCTAAAGAAATCCCAAGAGTTCTCCAAGAAAGACTTACCTCCTATCTGAAAAAGAAAGAAAGATCCAATCCTAAAAAAAAGAAGAGGAAGTTAGTAAAAAAAAGAACGAAATCCACCCCTAAAGAAATCCTAAGAACCCCCAAAGAAGACTTATCTTCTATCCGAAGAAAGAAAGATCGCTTCACTTCTAAAAAAAGAAGAAGTTAGTAAAAAAAAGAATGAAATCCACTCCAAAGAGCCCAAAGAAACTTACCTTCTATCCGAAGAAGAACGAAAGATCCGCTTCAAAAAAGAAAAGGAAGTAGCAAAAAAGAACAAAATCCACCCCCAAAGAAATCTCAAGAGCCCCAGGAAGACTTACCTTCTATCTGAAAAAAGAAAGATCCGCTCCTTAAAAAAAAAAGAGGAGGTCAGTAAAAAAAAGAATGAATCCACCTCCAAAAAATCCCAAGAGCCCACCAAAGAAAACTTACCTTCTAAAGAATCTTTCGAAAGAAAACATAACCGAAGAGAATTATCCTAAATTCATAAAAAAAAATAAAATTAAATTAAATAAAATAAAATAATAATAATAATAATAATAATAATAAAAAAAAAAAAAAAAAAAAAAAAAAAATTTCTCCGAATTAAATAAAATAAATTCGAATTAAATAAATAAAAAAAAAATTCTCTGAGAACGCTAAATGCTTCATAAATTAAATAAATTAAAAAAAATAAATAAAATAAATTAAATAAATTCGAATTAAATAAATAAATAAAAATCTCTGAGAACTTCAAATGCTATAAAAATAAATAAAGAATTAACAAAATAAAAATAAAAATAAATAAAATAAAAAAAAAAATTAAATATAAAAAAGGAAATAGGTATACTCTTCTTTTTTGCGCTTATATTTTGGTTGGCCTGTCTTTTCGTCTATTCTATCCATTTCTAATAATTCATGACCAAACAGCCGAGTGTCCTTATTAGACCAAATGGTAGGAAAAGAAAAGGCGAAAGTATACGACAAAAAAAGCAAGTATTAATTGATAATAGATTTTGATCAAATATATAATAATAAGTTTGATATTTTTCGTTTGATTTAAGTGGAGTGAATAAAAGATCAAACTGATGAAGCTTACCTCCTTTTATTAGCGATATCGGCAAGTGCATCACGAAACCTGAATCATGATTGATGCTTTTCAGGATCAAATGAGTCCGTTTTATATTTGTCATTACCGAAACCCCATAATGATCGAAGTTGAATTCAAGGCAAGTTCAATTAGTATTTATGCTGAAATT